GAGGAATCCCCCCCAAATCCGGGCCCGTGGCGTTGTGGGGGGCGTGAGGGGCGATCAAGGCCTGTTCCGCTTCCGCAGCTCCATCACAAATGCTGTGGGAACGACAGAATAAGAGTTGGGGGGGCCATTGTGAGCTCTCCATGGTGCCCCCTATGACCCCCCACCCAATTTCCCCACAGCCTCCCCACCTTCTATGATCTCCTCCTTCATTTTCTGCAGCTCCCTCCGCACCTCCTCCAGCAGCTCCTGGGGTGGGGAGGGGGCACAAGGTGAGAGGATTTGAGGGGGGACACATCCCATAACCCCCCCAACTCCCCCCATACTGGTACCAGTTTGAATCGCTCCATGTCCAGCTCACTGTGGGACTCGGAGGGGGCAGCTGGAATGGCCGATTTCACCCTGGGGAGGGGGGGTTGGGGGAGTGGAAAAAATAAATTGGGGACCCCCACAGAACCCCCCCTAAATCCCCTCTCCCCCCCCGAAAAAAACCCACCTGGGCAGGGTGGAACTGGATTTTTCCCACGGCCTCCGTACGGGCTCTGTGGAGACAGGGCAGGGGTGAGGGGGCGCTGGACCCCCTCAAAACCTGCCCCCCGTTCCCCAAAAGCGCCCGCCCCCCCGAGTGCCGCTTCCCCTAAGCTTGTTAGAACTACAAGCCCCAGCGTGCCCCGCGCGCTCGCACCGTGCCCCGCCGCGCGCCCCCACCGCGGTGCATGCTGGGGGTTGTAGTTCGCGCGCTCACCCGGCGGCGGCCCCGCCGTCCTCGCGCCCGGCTCCGCTTCCTCCTGCGGAGACACAAAAGGGGCGGGGGGGAGAATTTGGGGAGGGGTCTAGGGAGCAGAGGAGGTCGGGGAGATCCCTTCTCGCCAAAATAGTCAAGAGGGGGTACTGACGGTGGTGACGTCCTCGTCCTTCTTTGGCTGCTCCGTGGCTTTTCTCCTGGGGGGAGGAGGAAAGGAAGGGGTCAGTGTGGGAACTGAGGGACCCCCCCTCCCCCCCACAAAGGGTGAGGAGACCCCTTCCTCACCTGCGGGCCAGCATGGCGCTCATCTCCTCCATCAGCCCCCCCCCGGCCCGGGGGGCCCCATCGGCTTTGGTGGGGGGAACGGGAGGGCCTCCCCCCCCACTGGGGGTCTCATCCTGCTGGGACAAACGGGGTGAAGAGGGACACCCCCCCCCATTAATTACCTCCCCACCCCATTAATTACATCCTCCCCCACTCACCTTCCCGACTTTCCTGAGTTTGGCCCCCGCGA